GTCAAGCATCCATTCAGCTTCAGCCACCTGTTCCCAGCTGTCAACAGCAGGGCATTTACTTCAGGGCTGACATGCCGCCTCTCTTATTGTCAGGGTCGTCATATCATAAACTCACCTAATGTGACCCACTTTTAATAACTCTGTGAAGTGAGCCAGATGCCAGAAGCCAGCAGGGCAAAGTGCTAATTGGGAGGAAAGTTTGACATTTATGGATTTGGAAAAATAATAGGGGAAAAATAATCACACAGAATTATTTCGAGGAAAAGGTCTGCTGCACGTTCATGCCAGAGTTTTGTACGTCACACGGATGGTGGAAAAAAAACACTTCTGTTGGTGATATTATGTATTACACAATTGATATTTCTTTTTTAATTCCGGGGATGTGAACCAGAGGAACCTATTTACAGCCCATAAAGTACGAGTTTATGGAAAGCCAAAGAAGCACAGGAGAACCTGGCTTAAAGTGAGGGAAAACTACATCTTCTGTAGCAAAAGAAAAACTTGTTTTGGTGAAGACAGTTTGATTGAGGAGGACGGTCAAGTGGAGCTGCTGCTGCTATTGCCATTTAAGTTTGAGATTAAATATTATGAGAACATCTTTAAACATTCTTGCATATTTATACTGACACTTACTGCATGTTGACAGGCAGTGTGTGTGACTGACGGAGAGAGGATCCTGGGATTGGGAGACCTGGGCTGTTTTGGGATGGGCATCCCAGTGGGCAAGTTGGCGCTCTACACTGCTTGTGGTGGTGTTCCGCCCCAACAGTGTCTTCCTGTCATGCTGGACGTAGGCACAGACAATGAGGTGAGAGCTCTGTACAGCACACAAGTGGTCCCACCAAGCCCACCAAAGGTTAAAAACACATCACATCTTTGAACCATCAGGAAGAACCAAAAGGTGGTTTGTCCTTGAAATTTGAGGACCAGGTTTTACCTTTCACCATGACATTTATTCAGTGTTCCAGGTGGAAAGCTACACATCTATAACCTCCGTGGGCTGACTACCTGTCTAGACAGTTGTAATTTGAAATCAACTCAGTGAAAGAGAAAACCTTTTCTGGAAAAGTCCAACCATTTGTGTTAACTCCATCTTCAGCCTGAGGCAAAAGGCAGATATCAGGCCTCATACTTTTTGTGCTTTTGGTGCATTCTGGTACAGATTTATATACAGCCAAAGTGGGCAAGTTCAATTAAACTAAGGTTCCATATATTCACAGATAAGCTCATGTTACTTGATAGTAATAATGAGTATTACTGCTCTTGACTTCTAATGTACTTCATTCTCTTCAGTCGTCTGCTCAAGTTGCACCAGGCTGCACGTCTTAGCGCTGCTCCAAGATTGCATCTCGCTCCAGTAAAATCTGCCCCTGCTTAGCTGCACGTCCACCCAATTTCTGTGTTTGTTCAGTTCATGTCTTGCAGCTGTAAAATTGTTGCTTGTGCAGACACACTAACATTACAACTATTATAGCAAAGACTGAGCAGGACTTGGAGCAATCAGGAGTGAAGGTGACCTATCACGCAGCATTGACTTTTTCATATAGTTGCATCTCTTAACTAAAATAAGACAATCTGCCAAAATCTGGAAATACAGAAGATACTGGCTCACTGTTGGGAAAGTTGGTTTTATACCAAATATTACTGTTGCCTACTTTCTAACTTCTTTCCAGAATGTGAACCTTGAGCCATTTGAGATAATAAAAGCAAGACTTCACACTTTGCTTACTGACTTCTTTTTCTTCTTCTTCACCTTTCTGTGTTCCCCACATAAAAATTGATGTGCTCTTCCTGCTCAGCTCTCAACTCCACTTCCTTCAAACTCTTAAACTTCATATATCACCCCAACAAGTTATTAAAACCATCAGTTTGTAATGTGCCAGCAGGGAAAAATTCACAAGACTCTAACTAAGCCAGGTAGGTCTCGCCTCAGAAGAAGCCAAGAAAATGAAAACAAATCTCACTATTTAAAACCAGGGAACACCCATAACTTTGCATAAGTGAGGTAAGCAGCACTGACCGATGCCAGCTGGGAAAGCACCTCTGCCCTTTGCAAGCCTGCAGAGCAGTACTTATCCACCTGGTACTGTGGTCCCTGCTCCCATCAGGAGATGATTCAGACTCTGGAAGGAGGTTTGCGTTTGTCTGAAGCTCTGGACCTCCTAAGAATAGTCTGTGAACACTTCTGTTCACGGTTCTCTGTCTGGGCCAAGGGTGTGGTTGCCTTTAGATACGTTTGTGCCAGACAGAGCTAAGCTTCGCCTGTCAGGAGCTGTCCTTCATTTTCCAGCAGTCTTCATGTGCGTGAGGTTGACCGGACCATGCACGTATTGAACTTACAATGTAAGAAGTAATAATATTTATTATGGTAAAAGTCCAAGGAAAGAAAAACATTGGAATGAAAGGTCAACTTAAAAAAAAAAACAGGCATGTAATGTGACAAACTGTTGTGTGTGTGTGTGTGTGTGTGTGTGTGTGTGTGTGTGTGTACATATTAAATATCTCTGGATTACGGGAAGCAGGCTGCTCCGCTCTTTTCAGTACACTGCAGCTGTGAGTGAAGCTTTAATGGGAGCAAATAGAGAGGAATAAGCTGTGAGGTAGTGGTAGCTCCAGCTCTTTAATAAAATGACCCTTATTATGGGATTATATTTGCCCTTGAGTAGATATATTGAGGCTGGTTGGCCAAAACCCAGAGAAGCTAACCCTATGACTTTGCAAGGATTTTTCTCTATGTTTTTGCAAACAGTTAGTTCAAACACCCTTTGATTTACCTTCTGCACTGGAAGAGATCATTACCACTATCAGTCTAGCTGCGTGAGAATCACAAATATGGGCTTATAATCTGAGCAGCCGTGGTCTCTTTAATAATACTGCCGTATCAGTTGGGGTCGGGGCTTGTCTATATACACACACAGCATGAAAGAATGTACATGCTTTCAGTTATTTTCACTTTCTTTGATTCTTGTTCCCCACTGAGCTGAACTATCTGTCTGTGTGTCCTTTGGCCTGCTTTCACCTGGAGAAACCCCAACACTGACACAGGCAGAAGTAAGAGTCAGTGATGTCATTTTGGACAATGGGCTACTTGTAAGCATTTGTATCTGAAGGGACTTTTTGTAAAGTCTTTCCACCTCTACTTGACAAAACATTTTTTGTGAAACTCCCTCATCGGCAGCCCTGTGTGCATCTCATAGAAATAAGATGTCTTTTCTCTGTCAGCTATCAGTTGATAAACACTTGCAGCAGAGAACATAAGGGGCTTCTGTGCCTGTGGAGAGCATGAACTGTAGAGCCAAACAGGAGCAGTAATCCCTCCTGAGAGAAAAGCTACTGTACAACCCAAAAGACAGCTTAGCCAATCAGCAAGAGATGATCTAGGACCGAGAGACGTCTTGTGTCGACAGTTGAGTTCACTCAGTCCATTTAGAGCTCACCTGGGTCATTAGCGGAGTAGTGCTGTAAAGGACCAGTATGAAATTCAATCAGGTATATTGTTTTTTTAAAATAAATTTTACCTTATAATTACAGCTGTTGTTTTCTTATGTCAAAAAACATTTTATAAAACAAAAGAAGTGGGCATATCATTTATGTCTTCCACCATGTTAGTGCAGTACATCTAAAATGTACAACTAAATTCAATGTAACTGGTCCAGAGACTGTCTCAGATAAATCAATATATAAATAAAACAGTCCTGTTTCTGATGACGTTGTTTGTTTTGAATGTTCTAATGTGGAGAGTTAGCCAGCAACATCTTCAACTCTTAGCAACAGACTCTGCTAACATGTCACCAGATTAGCTCCAGACCTGGTCATTAGCCACTTAGCTTTTAAATACAGGGTAATGCCCAATGTACAACTAAAGCACATTAAGAAAAAATCTTTTTTCTTTAAATATGTAATAATCTGACACATAGTTAGATTGTCCAGTTAGACATGCACATTTTCTGATATATTTTAGTGCTATATTTTCATTTGTAGAAATGGGGATTATGATTTATTTCTGCTTATTGCATCATCTGGAAGAATCAGCCTCCATGGCATTGTGCATGTTATGGTTCCATTTTAAACTTGTCCTCCCTGTGCCTAGAACAGGCCATTAAAACCTTGCCAAGGAGTGAGTTGTCAAGTTCAAATAAATATAGCCTTAAACCAACTGCTCTGCTCTGGGACATGAGAAAAACTTTGACCCTGTCATGGAAAGGTGGCTGCTGTCCATCCAGGCCTGTCTCATCTTGGTGGATGTCTCTAATTATCTATCACCACATGTAAAGGTCACGTGTCCCAAGTGGCACAGCAATTTTATGGATCAGTACTCCCGACTTTGAATCAGAATTTCCTGCAGGTCCCTGCGACACAGCCATGTTTGGTCCTGCAGCCATTATTCCTATCCATCTATGGACACTCACTCTGTCAACTGTGACACGGCAGGTGTGTGTGGCAACCAGAATAAGTGAGAGCTGACCATGAGAATTACGTAGGACACACTTTACGGCAAAGTCTGCAAATAGTTAAATATTGTTTTATTTTAAAAATGAAAATGGAAAAATATCAAGAGTTATGATCTCCTCGGTCAGAAAAGCCTGCAGACTGACATGAAGGAGGTATTGCTCGATGTCTATAGGATCGCACACATGGTATTTATTACGGCAGAGGTCGGAGGTCCATAGAAAACACTGGTGTTTGCGTGTGAGCATGTATAATCCACCCTTTGTCTTTATATACAGTCCTGAAGAACTGCAGTGTTTGCTGTCTGTGATACACTGTCAGTCTAACTGTACCTTTACCTTTATCTTAATCAGTCATCCATTTTAGGCATTTAGTTTTACAAGTCAGCACAAAGTAATGATCGATTGATTTAGCTGACACTCATGAGGTGTGTGTGAGTGTGTAATATACAGTATATGTTTGATGTGTTTTCTGATTTATTATGGATCTTTTGCATAAGTAGTGTGTTTTATATTTTACTGCATTGTAATTATTGTAATATAAATCTGCCAGTCTGCTACTATATTTATAAAGATAATATCATTATCTTTGTTATTTTTGCAGGCACTGCTGCAGGACCCGCTCTACATTGGGCTGAGGCATAAAAGAATCCGAGGCCAGGCCTATGACGAGCTGCTGGATGAATTTATGAATGCCGTCTCTGATAGGTATGATAATATCAGCCCTCCATTCATTTGCTCCTTTAATGCCGTCTGCTACCGTCATCATCCCGCAGACTGTACTTGATGCTCCTGAAAGAAATATGCTAAGCACTTCAGCGTGGTCAGTGTTTGTGGCATTCAGGGGTCTGGAAATGAAGTCAGTGCGGATGAAAGTAGTTTGAGAATCTTTGATGTAACTTCAGGTTGCCAGGCAAAATCAGTCACCATTCAGCATACTGGCATAATGGCATTAGCTTATTGAAAAGTGATCAGAGAGATGTGGTCACTTTTTTGAGCCTCTGATTCTCCTCAGTCAGATGGCTGGGAGCTGCCAGTCAACCATGTGGAGGATGGCGTCTGAGGTTTCGTTGGTCTCCATATCTGTTTCTTTTGAAAGGAGTGAATGCCCTTCCAATCTCGAGGAAAGTTTTCAAGTAAGAGTGAAAGAACAGAGTATTCCAGCCATTCCAGTCAAACCTTCTTCCACAATAATAGTTAATACTTTTCCTCTTTAAGACAATCCAGTGCCCATCATGAAAAGGACCAAAATAGGTGACACGTCGACAGAATCATATCATAAAATACTACTGAAATAAAAGGGAACAAAATAGAAAGTTTCAATTTTTAGGAGCCTTTTCACAACCTACCATACAGTGAGGAGTAGTTTGTTCATTTTATGTTATTTATATTTGTTTGACGTGGGCTTTCCTCCAGGGACTTTTTAACAACCAAATGTTAATTATGGTTTTATTTGTATATAGTATGAATAGTGTAAATAATCAATTCATAATCAATATAGAAAATGTTGAATTTAGCCTGGTGCACTATAAATGCTCACAGGAAGTCAGTAAGGTTTGGGTCAATGAAGGATAAAGTCTAGACATCACTATTCTGCTGCCCCTTATCTGAAAAAAAAAAAAGTTTCTTTAAACACATTCTCTTTTGTTTCCTTTATTTCCTGTTTTGGAAATATTTAGAAACCCTAAACTTGACTTTTCATGTAAACAAAGATGTTTACTTCAGTATAGTGTGCGACCCACAATTTGTTTAATAGTCTGATTAGACACCGTCATCTCTGTCCTGGGAAAAAAAATACACAGCGTCTCTAAATCAGATGTTGAGAAGCAGAAGTTTGGATACACTCCTTTTGTCTCTTTATTGTCATAAAATCAACATGTATTGTGTTTTCTCCAGACTGCACACTTAATATGTGTCATGTTGTCCCTGTGTGCACGTGGGTCGGGCGAGGTTTTAGTCCTAAACCAAGGCGACCTGAAGCCTGAGTCTGGGTTCCCTCCAGCTGGCACCAGCCCTGACTCTAATAACTGGGTGGCTTCTCAACTACAGGGAACAGCGATGCTTTTTTTCCTCAAAGGAGCCAGATTGGCGGAAAATGAATAATTATGGGCTTAGAGATTGAATGAATGATTACAGCTCTGCCGTCTTTCAGAAAATCATGTTTGGTATCCGAAGAAAGAAAGACGCATCCTCTAAAATACCTCAGATTGATTCATCACCAATGATTGGAAATGTGCAGGGTTTGTTTTAAAATTATGATTTAACATCCTTAAAATATTTCACTTTGTTAAGTTGGCAGGAGCTGACAACTATCTGCTAATGATAAACAATCATCCTGTGGTTGTTTAGTGTTCAGGCAGAAATAATGGTCATAATGACATTTCTTCTTGCACACACCCTCTGTACATTCCTATGGATGAACCTGGCCTCAGCTGTGGGTGTTAAACCTTGAACTCTTGTATTTTCTCCCAGGGCTTTTCTTTCACCACTTTGTCAGATTTCATCACACTTCCAGGTTGCCAGCGTGTGCAGTTGTGGAGGGATGTGTTGGTATGAAAAAAAAAATCAGACAAGTGGTAATTAACTCAAGAGTGGTCTGAGTCACACAGGAGATACACAATAAACTGTGTTGTGGAGACACGGAGACTGAAGGCTGCTTAAGTGTAGTTTTACAACATTCACTGGCTAGTGTTCTAAACCATGCTCTTTAAAAAGAAGTAATGGATAATCAAGTGTAGACAAGGCTGTAACTCCAGGAATCAAACATCCGACTGGACCTCGACTTGTTTAGTCTTGGTTCATCTTTGCATGATTCATTTACTGCTGAGACAGATCCATTTGTCTGACATAATCAGTTCATTACTGAGCGTCAGCCTTAATGGGTTAATTAGTAGCAGATGTTAATGAGAAATGCTAAAATGAACAGAACTAGACAGCACTCTGTTGAGCAAGCGCTCCCCAAATTGGACTGATTTCACAACCTATTGTGTCGATGGTAACCATGGTGATGCAGAGCACCGATAAAGCCTCATAAATCAGGGCTGGGTATGACTGTTACTAACTTTGAAAAAATAATGCAAAAGCAATGCAAACTGGTTATAGGGAAAACCCACATGTGGGGCAGAGACGCTGAGACAGGCTGTGTCAGATTAGAAGCATTAGAGTTATTAGAATAAGACATGCTGCCTCTAAGATTTGATTGAACTTTTATATAGTTGTAGGTGTTTTTTAAACTCTGCACCGAAGGACCAATGGATGGAGAGTTGGATGCATGGAAAATGCTAGAAAAGGAGAGGGTATACATATATAGAGAGAATAGCTCCCTCTCTTTATAGATGGGTTCAGGGACTTATGGAATAATGTGCATCGAGAGATGCTAACTCTCTTGAGTCTGACGGGGCCGGGGATTTATTAAGGCCTCCAACCCAAAGCCCCTGGAGGAGGTTAAAGACACTGTGTGTGTGTGTGTGTGTGTGTGTGTGTGTGTGTGTGCAGAGCGCCCCAGTCTGTGACCTCCATAATTGAGGTCTTCATGAATGTGTTCCAACTAAAATGTCTCGGTTCATACCTTCTCCTCTGCGTCCAGTCTGCTCCTCACCATTGGAAGTACATTATACATGACATATTTGCTACAGGCTGGAGGTTCATATTACATCAGACCTCAGATGAAACCCAACTGTTTCCTCCAGGACTTGGCTCTCGCCTTAAAGTCACTCGTCCTACACATCAGCCCAATCACATCAGCTAAAGTGTTCTCCCACATGGCCATGAGCCAGTTGCATCATGTCTGATGGTTTTTTAGAAATAATAAAGCATTTTAAACGATGTCATAAGCATTTACTCTCAACACATAAACTGATTTGCCCAGATGTCGTATAAATATCTGTTTAACCAGTGAAGAATGCAGCTTTTCTTTACTGAAAATGAAAGTAACTCTGGTATTAAATGATATTTATACTGTTTGTTTTCTTCTTTTAGTTTTCTGATGGTCTGGCGGATTAATAAAACCCTTCATTGTTATTTCTGCTGCTGAGAAACTCATCCAGTGCTCACTGTGAACTCTCTCCCACTAAGCAGCCACACCTGCAATACAAAATGTAAAATAGAGTCTGATGATTTCTTCCTTGGACCAATGAACTAATATTTTTATTCAGTTACAGTTCAATCTTTTACTATTTGATTCAAATTCAGTTAAGTATGCACATTTTCCATCATTTTTCAGTAATTACAGCAGTCTGTCCTACTCCTTTCATTTTTTCCTCTCCTGATGAAAGATTAATAGAAGTTTCCCAGAACAGTCAGGAGCATGGCTTGTATTTTTCATCTTTTATTGGGTGTGTCCGTCCTTGCTTGTGTTTCTGCCTGTGGACTCTAACTCTAACTGTGACACACAGAAAGGTCCTGCCTATTTGTCCTTCATGTCTATTATTATTTCTCCAACACTGCAGAATTCTTTTTCCAGGGACACTAAACCAATGAAAATGGTAAAGTTTACAGCGCAGTGTTTCCCACCATTTTTTCCCCATAGCATTTTTAGAATTTATATATGCCCCCTTGTTTTTATATATTACAATGGAAAAAAAATCTCATGGCATACCACTCTAAAAAAGATAATGAAATATAATCATTTTTAAGTTTCAATTTACTCACTATTAACTTACTCAGTTTCAGAAAATTGAATATTCATTATAGATGTTAGGGGCAGTTACAGTATGGTTACTTGGATTGTGTCTGAGTCCAGACTCTACTGAAGCCTATATCTGTCCAACTATCATATATCCTACGATTAAAGGTAAATGGTGAAAATAATTTACAGCGATAAACGGATGCCCATGTCTGGAGGTGTTTCATTGTGAGCAGTCACTGACTGACACTTGGACTACTGTTAAAATCATTTTGGTCAGTTTTGCAGAAGCACTTTCTCTTTACAGCCGTGGTTTTTACAGTGAGGCGCTGCCTCCTTTTAAAAAAGATTTGTCTTTCTCATCTGAAGTGCAGCTTTTGTTTTTCTTTTTTTTTATGGAGAAAAAACCCAATTTTATTAAACCCATTTGGCTAACGTGTCGAAAAAGGCGAGAACATCTTTTACATCACGTACTCATTTAACAGCATGAAGTAATCTTGAGTATTTCTTGACTGTTGTTTTCTTAAATTCGTTAAAGAGAGCTATCAGGAGTGGGGTCTGATCTCTTCAGGAATCAGACTTTCTTTTTTCCAGAAACGGCAGTGAAGATGTCAGATGAGTTGATTTCCCTCCAACAGAAGCTTTGTTTCAGACAACACAAACAGTCGGACCCCCTGTGTTTATTGGTTCAGGACAAAAACCAAAGGGCCTTTTGTGTTTTCTTTCTGTAAACCCACAACCACAGAAGGTCACGCTGTAGTTTATGGTCTGTGAACGGTCGTGGCGTGTTCATACCTCAGCTCTTTTCAAATTCATGCCTTTTTTTTATCTTTACAGTTTTTGGAAGGTTGCACTGTTGTCAACCAAAAGTGAATACAGTTGTGACATGAGTTTGACTCGTGCAGACAACTTTCCCTCTACGTCCACGTCTTTGCAGTGATCTTGTTCCTGTGTGAACTCCTGTGACCCCTCAGTAGCCAGATGCACCACACCATAGAAGAAGGGGCCTTGGCTGGCAGTGGAGAAAGGACACGGATTCTTCCTTGACTCCTCTTTCTTTTCTTCTTGAGCTCAAATACAATGAGAACTTTATAGCTCCCTTCATGGCCTCATTATTCCGACCTCTTCACATAAACTCTCGGTGCTTTAGCTGTGCTCTCTGCTTGATAGAAAACACATTTCTCTCCCTCCCTGATGCTGCTGGCCGTCCTGCAGGGAGCCGGCATCACTGTCAGTATCTGTGTTAGGCATCAACGCCTCACACTCTGGCAGAGGGCAGGGATAAACACGGCCCCAGCAACAGCACGTTAACTTTTAGAGCTCTACCGGTGGATCACACTCTGAAGTTCTTCCTTGCGCCTCTTCCGCTCTCCACCCCATTCAACTCCTGCTGCAAATCCGAGCAGTTTAGCAGTGAGCAGTTTAGCAGCCACTGTAACAAGTGGGATAGAGTTTAACTGAGCTGTTACAATAGCAGTGCAAACAGATCTTATTCCTCACGGGTGGAGCTTTATGGAGAGACTGTAAAAGTAGCAGCAGAAAGTTGGAAGAATGTGAGAGAGACAGAGAGACAAAAAAGATTCAAAACATCACTTTTCATTCTTCAGCTGCTGCTCAGTTGCCCAGAGATTTCAGGTGTTTGCTGTGGTTCAGACTGATCTTAGTTTCCTGTCACCAAACTGTCTGGAAAATGAGTGTTGGTGAATTTCGAAATGGGTTTAACACACATTGTTAACATCACACTGTTTATCTTAATGCCGAACCTCAACAAATGTTAATCCCATAGATCCTGTTGGTCTGAACTGAGATGCTAAATGATTGTAGTTTATGTGAGGACTCTCCTAAAAGGACCACATTATGTGATTTATTATTATTTACCACCATATTAATATTTCTTCAAAACTTTTGGTTTGCTGACACCAACTTTTTGGACCCGACATAAGTATATATACATGCTGAAGCATTTTATATTTCAGGAACTAATCAGCCAAGACTATACTGTATCAGTAGCTCCTGTACTTTTAACCTTTCTGTTAAAAGTACAGAAATGTGTGTATGTGTGGTTGTGTGTGTGTTATATTGCTGCTAAATCTAATTTATTGTCCCACTAGACCTGATTTTTCACTTCTCGTGTTGTTGTTTAAGCAGACTCCTGTGTGGACTGCAGACGTGATAGGTGGTCTGAACAACAACCAGTCCAGACCAGTAAACCCTGCTGGTTTATTGGTGGATTCTTTGGTCTTTTTCGTTCAGATTTTCTGTGTCACTAATTCTGCTCCTTTTGTCTGACCTTGACCTTCCTTATTGAATTTCAGTGCAGACTGCTGTCAAACAGTCAGGAGAACAGGTGTCAACTCGTTAAATGTAAATGTTTATAAGAACCGCGTACAAGGGGTTAAAGGTCATTCACTCACTTGTAGGCTAATGAACTGCTTCTGCTGATGTTAAGTCATTTTATTGTCCACAGTCTTACTAAATACTAAAGTACTGGAGTTTAAGCTGGTGTTACCACATTAGCACAATCTCTATAGGACGCCATTCATTTTTGATTGTAAGGAGAGAGTGCCCCCTTCTGGACTGATACACTCCTTTGACACAGACTGTTCACTAGTACTATATTTTGTTTTAGGAATATTTCAGTTCAGCGGATTTAGTAACTGTATTTTATTTGTCACAGGTACGGGTCAGACTGTCTGATTCAGTTTGAGGACTTTGCCAATGTAAATGCTTTCCGTCTGCTGAGCAAGTATCGCAACAAGTACTGCACATTCAACGATGACATCCAAGGTATTTCCATAAATAGTTTTCGATGACAAGCAAGAATATTGATTTATTGTTAAAAATTAAAATTACAAATTCAGGAGTCTAGCTTTTCAGTAATACGGTGTTGATTCCTCAGGTACAGCTGCTGTGGCAGTAGCTGGGCTCCTGGCTGCTCTTCGTATCACCAAAACCAAAATGTGTGATCACACCATTGTGTTCCAAGGAGCAGGAGAGGTGAGTACAGCAGTCAAACTGAAACTTTACATCTTTTTGTATTTAGTCCATAGTAGTGGTCCATTTGTATAGTGGTTATGAAAAGAAAAGTGTTTAGCTCTACTTTAAACAAAGGAGTTCAATTTATTTTTGGAATTTCTAAGGATGAACTTAATTCATGTTCCGTTTTTGTGGCATTTTATTTAGACATCGAATAGTTCACATGAAGTGTTCCACTCTGATTTTATTCTTCCCATCTGGTCTTCCTCTTAGGCAGCAATGGGAATCGCAGAGCTTATCACCATGGCCATGGAGAAGGAGGGACTGCCAAAGGAGCAGTGCTTGAAAAAGATCTGGATGGTTGACTCCAAGGGTCTCATTGTCAAGGTGTTAAAGAAAATCCTACAAAGCATGTTCTTCACTCTATCTACTTTATTACTTACCAGAATAAGCAGTAAAATATTATTGTGTTTTTTTCTTTATTATTATCTATTATTTGTCATTTAACCTCAGGACAAATGTCTATGACTGATGTGAAATCCCACCATAAAAATATCTTTGTTGGATAAATTCTGAGCTGGTTAGAACACAGTTTTCTCCATATTCTAGAAAAGCATTATCCTGTTTGCTTACTTGTAACACAGGGATCCTTCTTTGGAAAGAGGGCTAAAATCTCTCTGGAGGTTTACACATCTGTTTTGTTTGCGCTATCCATTTTATTTGTTATTCCTTCTTCCTCCTCACCGTTCCATTTCTTCTCCTCTGCACTGTTCTTCCTCCAATCCTTCTCCCACCTTCAACGTCGATGACTTTCTCCTCTTACTCGACTTTATTCCCACACGATCATTGAAAATGATTTGTGCTGTATTGTTTCAGCGTTTGTTTTCCTCATCTTCCGCCCTCTGTCCACATCCCTAGGGTCGGGATAGCCTGACTCACGAAAAGGAGAGGTTTGCTCATGAACACCCACAGATGAAGAAACTGGAGGATGTCGTACAGGAACTGAAGCCCACAGCTATCATTGGTAATTTACTTTCTTTACATCTGTTGTTACAGTATGTCGCTTAGACAGTGAGAAGAATTCACTTCTGACGTTGATGTTGGTGCCTTGATGATCTCAGTGTTTCTTTTGCAGGTGTGGCAGCTGTTGCCGGAGCCTTCTCTGAACAGATAATCAGGGACATGGCGTCCTTCAATGAACGTCCAATCATCTTTGCCCTCAGCAACCCCACCAGTAAGGCTGAGTGCACTGCTGAGCAGTGCTACACCTTCACCGAGGTAATCTCTCAGCACATTTAGGATTCCTGTTGGACACATTTTAAAACAATCTTTTCTCCATGGTGAGCTGATGTTCCAATGCTCTGCAGGGGCGGGGCATCTTTGCCAGTGGTAGTCCATTTGACCCAGTCACACTCCCTGATGGCAGGACGTTCTACCCCGGACAGGGGAACAACGCCTACATCTTTCCTGGTGTTGGCCTTGGAGTCATAGCGTGTGCTGTCAGACATATTAGTGAGGAGGTGTTCCTTGTTGCAGCCGAGGTACAGTTGAACACAGAACATAGAGGTGATGCTGGTAACGAAGCACAGAAAATACATGCAATTCTGTGACCTGCTGTTTTAACATGTCATGTCTCATGGAGACTTCAACTACAACTACACCAAGTGTTTAACAATCTAGTGAATGTCGCTCAGTAGGAAAATGCATTTGCTGTTCTTTAGGCTCTTGCTCACCAGGTGACGGAGAAGGATCTGGCAGAAGGAAGACTGTATCCTCCTCTCTGCTCCATCAGGAACGTCTCTCTCAACCTGGCTGTAAAGGTGATGAATAGCAGACAAACAGTACTACATGTCTGTAGTTATGTCATAGTTGGTGGTTGTGGTTTCAAACTCCGTAAAGTTAATCTCCTTTTTGCGTTACAGATTATTGAATATGCTTATGAACACAACGTGGCCACACTTCACCCAGAGCCCTCTGACAAGGAAGCGTACGTGCAGTCACTGAGCTACAGCACTGACTATGAGGAGTTTGCCGTGGACTCATACCGCTGGCCGGACGACACTGTGACTGTGCAGTCATGCAAACTTTAATGCACGGGACACAGACAAGGAAGCAAAGTTTTGAACAATATTTTCTCAAGAACCAATGATGTAATATAAAGAGTAGCACTTGGTTGTCTATATATATATATTATAACTGCACTTAAAATGTTGTTATCCTTTAAAAAAAATAAATAATATATACATATATGAAAATACTATCTTGGGTTAAATTTTGTTGCATACTAGTAGGAATACAAAGTATGTTATGACTTTGACTAAAATTCATCTTATTTTGATTTTTACAAATACAGAATCCACATGCATTTGGACTTTGGGTGAGTATTAGGTCATTTCCATTCATCTTTATATATTTTTTGTCTTACTATTTGTGAAACATCTGTTTATACAATTATTAGGTTTAATAAGTGGTATGCTGGTGTATTTAATCCATCGTATGGTGCTTTGGCTCCTTCAAGAGGTCAACCTCTATTACTGCAGTTAAACAAGAAAACTCTCCCTCGAGAATCATGTTCTTAATTCCCTTGCTTGAAAACAACAACGATTCCCTGTCTATCTGTTTTGATTTATATGTAAACTAAATGTAATAAAACCAAACAGATTTTAATATTTGTGAATCAGTCACAACCAGACAGTCAGTTCTAGATGCCTTGATCTGCAGTTCTACAGCCAGCCTTTATATGAAATCAACACAGACACAGTCAGATCAGTCAGTGCTCAGTGACGGGTGTCTGTCTGTGAAAGACAACGCTGTCCTCCCTCACTTTTTTTCCTCTCACCCTCGGGGTGACCAATACTCTGACACAACAATTAGTCTCCAACACCAGACTGTCTGTGCCACATGTTGTCACGGTTTGAACTTGTTCCTGTATATTTACTAATTTTCACTCTGTTAACTCAGACACTGCACCTATATTTGGGGGATGGTGAGACCCTTTGACCTCTGTGTAAACTGGGAAACATTGTATGAATTGTTTTATTTGAAATAGTTTCAGCATATTTATTTCTGAATGTCTGAATCATTACTCTGTTATTGACTTGGGCTGAGATGAATTTCACTGTGGCTGTTTTAGCATCGTATAACTGTTGTGCTACAATTACAGAATGTTGCAACATTTGTGGAGCACACTTCTCCCCATCTTAAATAACAGTGATATGGAAGTCGGGGGCTTGAAACAAGGCATTAATAATCTTGTCATTGAAACTATGAAGTCATGTCATATGTTCAGAGTACATTCTGTCTAGATGTCTGACCCTGATATACAGCTGATGTACTGTTTGACCTTGTTTGTGGATATATGTTAAAGACGACCTTGAAAAGACCTTGATCGGTCATGTGACCAGTGAAATTCAGTCTGAACCCCCTGAGGAAAAGTGACCTCAGGGGTCCATAGAACCGTCCCCCCAGTCTGGGAGAATCAAACCTTCACCAGTACCACCACCCAACCCCCACAGAAAATATCTCTGTTTACCAGGAAGCAGTCATGACTTATAGTTAAAGAACCAAAACCTATTAAAATGTTTACTCAATGAGTGATCTGTGAGGAACGACATATAATAAACGACCACTAGAGGGCGCTCCAATATGCTTTTTTAAAAATATGGGCCATTAAGGCCCCTGTGACCCCATAGGCCAGGCTCGCCTTCCCGTGCGCTGACAGACATAGACAATACTGAACGACGAACATTAAGGTGCAATAACAATAAGGTGCATGTGTAGCTTTAAGGTGCTGTATGGTCTGTAACTAAGGTGCTGTATGGTCTGTAATATAAGATAATGACCTAATGCAGTAAAAGCCCACATTACCAGTCATCTCATTTACAATGAGCCTATTTATCCAGCTACAATGTCCCCGACTGACCATGTACAAAATGCTATAATAAACCTTTAATAATCTCTTTGTTACATTTTTAAAAACTAGTCTGTTTATGTTTTAGACCAGACTATAGAAACTTTCGGTGAACAAGTAAATAGAACTAATTAAATAGTAAGGACACGGTACACACTGTGTCTGCATTCAGAGCTAAAAGAGCTTCTGTTATAAATGTATATGTAAAAAATGGTAAAAGTCTTTTTTATTCTTCTATGTAGAGAGAGATGTTTTTCCTGGAAATTACAGTAGATACATGTTTTTAATACATTTTAAATAATGTTGGTGTGTTGGTGCCAGACCCAATAATGTTGGGTCTGGTATTGACTAATATGCCAAATATAAATTGAAACAAATCCATTTTATTTCTTTTTGATAATGTCTAAATCCATTTTCCACTAGCGAACGACATTTCTACACATCTGCAATACCCACCAGACGATAAAGCCTTAATTTGTACATTTATTTTGTAACATTTTTTTACTGCTCTGTTCTAATAAATTCTAAACGTTCACACTGCATTTAAAAATAGGCCGAGTGTAAAAAGCCCTTTGTTTCTGCAGTGTTACATCTGCTCCCTGCATAATATATCCGAGTGGTAGTCTGCTGGACAATAGTCAACAGGTCAAGGATTTTTCATGCTGTTTTAGTCTAAGTCTTTATTCTCCATAGTCACAATGGCCCCATATATTGAAAGCACCAAGTGCTGAAGTGTACATTTTAATGCAGTCAGTACAAGCAGTAAATATGAATCAAACAACCGACGTCCTGCTGCTCAATGCCCTTTTGCTACAAACATATTCATGAAGTCAGGCGGTGGAAGAGGTGGAAGGAGCAGTGACAAAAGAAAGAAAAAAGTGTTCTTTTTTGGCTCCTCTTTTTATTAATTCAGTGACAAAAGAAAGAAAAAAGTGTTCTGCTTTGGCTCCTCTTTTTATTCATTTTCTTTTTCTCCTGTCTGCTGAATATGAATGTGAGGACTGACATTGTCAACACAAACACAAGACGTCAGAGAAGTGTTGGCTGAACAGCCATGTTGTATACTCACTCTTCACCCAACTGGTTCTGTACTGTATGTGAGCAGCAGTGGTCTGTAATCACAGGGGCTGATAATCTGGTGATGTAAAAAACTGCCTTTGTCAGCTGTTCCACTGTCCCCTGGGTCTGTGGACACTGTGTCACACCATGGCCCATCACACAGGTTTGGTGCTGGCAGCCATTGGTGGTCGCAGGTTTCCAACAGCCTGTTGTTTCTCAGGCCGGTACCACACGCATGTACCAAACAGACGCACCAACGCCTCCACAAGTTTTTACATAATTTGCATGAGTCCTGATTAATGTGGCGGCTGTTGCCATGAAATCTAACTTGACATGTGTGATCACGACCCAGAGTCGGGTTTAATTAATTAAGGTCTCAAACACGCGGCACATGGAAGTCATTCCCTGCAGCTGAAAACAAGAAAATGACGTTAAAATAGCCCACATAGAGCGACTCTGGAGAATATTTGGATGTTGATTTTTGGAATTAACGTGAACTCTGGGTTTTTGTTCTTAAAGCTAAAGATGGTGTTGTGGAGTTGTGAAAAGAACATATTATTTTAAGCACTGCCTTCAGCTCTTCACCATGTCTTCACCGTCCACTGAAACATGGGCTCATGTCATCCAGGCTAGTGCTTCTTCTTCTGCACTGAGCTCCAGATGGATCAACACATGCTGAAAAACATTACAAGCAGTGACATTTGCATGTGACCCAAATCTCTCACTTCTTGTTCACCATGCACACAAGTCACACGTCAGGGAGCACAGTTAGATAATGATCCTGTATCTGAACATGATTACTGCAAGATTTGTTTCTTTTCATACAAAGACACGTTCCTCTGATCAGCTGACTTGGCTGTTTGATGAGGTTATATAAAAAATAATTAGAAATACTTTAGGTTTTTATGTGGTTTAGTCTTAGTTTGGTAATATGATGACAAAATCATGTAACTGTTTTACTGGCTTAATGATTTTAATGACGAATTCAGTATATACACAGACAAACAAGTATGTCTAACATTTTCTGGACTTTATTATTTTTTCTTTTCTTTTTCTTTAAATGGAGGCCGTGTCCACTACTGGGTCCACAGAGGTATTTCACAAAGGTTGAAAAAAAAACAAAAATGTTATATAAGAACCTTTTATATATTATTATAAACCTTTATTTATGTACAGTGCTAAAGAAAATTTAACAAGAAAAAAAAGTGTAGATGAACCAAAAATAGGTCAAAAAAGGTTTATGGACATATCACACACCCAGGTCTGACTTTCAACATCTCTGTAATAGAGTGTATAACATGGGACCTTAACTTTAGACAAAACACCATTCTATCTATTGTATATTCACACTTGGCAAAAAATATAAAACCTTCCCGTTCTTAGTCAGACTTAGGTTTTTACATGTGTCTCTGATTTGATTGGACACATTCAACATCCATGTGCTTCAACATGCACATGTTTCCAACAATGGTCTCGGCTGCTTGTTGTTTTTTTTTTCTGTGATCTTCATTAATTCTGTAATTGTTTGTTGCCAGTGATTTACTGCCAAAATTTGCGAACATCAAAGCATTTCCTCTCCTCTCTGAAACCAGACACAAACCATTAAATTAACATGCATATTACATCTTCAGCTCAACAAGTTGCCCTAATTAATTATAAGAGGCAACAATGGCTTGTGGTTGTTGTGGGTATAGAAAGTAGTTTATCCTCTTTTGCTTGGAGCTTATAGTGTGTGTGCCCAGCCTTATGCATGTATGTTCCGTGTGTGTGTGTGTACTGATTACAAATGAGGACAGATAGGTTGTATGTGATGGTAATGCAGACTCCAGGGCTCTCTTCTTCACCCATTAATAACCAGCTTCCCTTTGAACAGGCCTTCAGTTTTCTCTTTGCATCGGTTGCAGCATGTAAATTTGTACACTGTGTTATCTCCTTATCAACTCAAGGGCCCACCTGAGTTTGTCCACCTGACGGACAGTTTAAAGAACCTACAAAGGCTGTATTTTCCCTTTTTGATCACAACCTTACAGGGTCGCGACCTGGCCGACATCACACGCCGAGACAACAGTGAAAACTGAAAACACTGCATGTGCATATCTAATGACCATGACAGGACTGTGGTCTGAGGACTATACCCCAAAACTCCCCTTCTCATCAGCCACAGTACCAAAGTGCAGCAAAGAGTGAGTGACTTAATAGTGTGATCAGCAGGAGTTAATTTCCCACTGACTTGTAAATACGCTGGATCACATTTTCTCCAACTCAATGCAAATCTCCAAGGAAAAATTCTGAATTTGATTAGTTTATTATGAATTTATTTCATTCTCTGTTTCTCTGCTTCAGTCTGTTCAGAGCCACAGTGGGAGGCTGTGCTAATCACAGCAGAAATTGTGCAAAGGTGAGATACACAGCACACATGTCACCAGTTAATTAAAGGGCCACACACCGTGTCACTGCAGACAACTGTTCTTGTTTATAGATGCTGTATTATTATATAGCCAATCACACATTTCATCAGCGGTGGTTGAGTTGAGGTGAAGTGAGTGCTTCAACAAACAGAAATAAATGTAATAAATAGTTAAATAAAAGTAAAAACATCTCCAGTAGTTGCTGCTGTTTTTTATTATCACAGATTTCACTTAACCTATCATTTCAGATTTTATTTGGGGCAGAAGAAAATTCTAGAAGAGAAGAAACAGAATGACTGCATAAGAAAACACGCACACTTAGCATAGAAAGTAATAATAAGAAATAATTTGTACTTGGACATGAACCAGTGACCTCCTGCAGTACCACATGGAAACACTTCATCTTTGAAACAAAAAACAATGGTGTGAAGCGTTGGGCCTCTGTGTGTGTATAGATGCATAGTGTGTGTGTGGGTCAATTTTGCTGGGCTCATCATCTATTGTCAGCAGACACGATGGTCTGGAGCCCAGGCTCCACTGGTCCGTCGACCTCCAATACCTGTAAACAATGGACCTAAGTGAAAACACAGTCTGTTATTTCCGTGTCGTCTCACACTGAAACAGCTGAAGAAGAAGACCAGTGTTATTTGTGGAAGCTGTAAGTTTGCTTTAAACACCGAGGCTGTACAGTTTAGTACAGTATAAACCCTTCCACCAGTATTCACTAATTTTGAGCATTTTAAACGTTGATCATTACACAGACTGTAGAGTAACACAAATCAGACCAGACGACGTCCAGCGCCAGTCTGCCTGATGAGCTTTTTAAAATGTTCTGCATCAGCTCACTGAATTACAGTAACCACACTCCTCAGGTTGATTGATAAGAA